GTATACATGTATGACAGGCCTATTGCTGATTTTAGGCCTATGGCTGATTTTAGGCCTTCAGTGGGTAAGCAGGGCTGCCCCTGACATCTCTTCCCTTCTCTAAGTATAGAAGGGCTGTGGCAATTCTAATCTTGCGAAGGTGGGGATAGAGGCCTGACCTCCAGTATTTGAAGGGGACCTTGTAATGGCTCTGGTCCCCATGTCGTTGTCCAGTGAAGCATGAGGGCCATACACATCCAGATGTCTTTTTCCTGGAGAGGGGATACTTTTGACATCAACCCCTATGCAGTCAAGCTTGTCCCTTAGGGAACCCAGAAAGATATTTTGAATTTTTATTTATATTCCCTTGCAGTGCTTAGCCTCGCAGCCTAAGCAAAAATTTAGATAGCCAGTCAGAGGGGGTTCTGGGTGGCCCCACTCTGCTTGGTCTAGGGGCAGGAGTCCCCTCTTTTAGATTGAGTGGAGATGTGTTTTGGGAACACCCTGGATAGAGTAACAACCTTGTCTTGAGTCTCGTGGTCCTCCATAGCTAACTTATGATAATGTGTCTGAATAGGTTTTGATACCAAATTATCTATCTGTTGCTTCACAAAATTAGTCAGCCTATTTAAGGCCCAGAGACCAAAAGAAATATGCAGAAGTAACCCAAATAATGGTCCCAAAATGGTAGGAAGTAGGGTTGACAACCATGGAGAGGCTGAAAACCAATTCTTGTACCAGCATTCATCTGTCTCTTTCTCTCTCTGATTTTTCTCAGGGCCTTCACTGACCTATTTCATGCTCTCTTTAACCCTCCCTGTCTTGTCTATGTAAAGGCAGTATTCTTCTTTAAGAGCTGTACACAGTCAAGAGCTGTACACAGCCTTTTCTATTGTAATGGAGTAAATTAAGTCCAATAAGGATCTTTGCGATTTTTGGAGGTCTCTTCAGACAGCGAAACGAGGGATTTCTTCAGATTAGTGATGTTAATCTCTAGCTGTTTGATGTTCTTGTCAGTGGCCCTTCAAAGGTCTGAGTAGTATAAGTTCGGAGGCCAGCATCTGGATTAGAACTTCTAACAGCAGACATCACGGGTGATTCATTTTTACCTGAGATGCTGCCTGAGTTAAAGCTCCTGGGAGGCTCTCTTTTTCTCGGGTTTCTGAGGTTGGGTACAGAGCTGCCCCTGAGACCTGCTCTATGCTCGGGCCCAGACCGCAAGTCCCATCCTCCTTATTTTTGACTTTCACAGTGAAAGCCCCGTGCCCAGAGCCTGGTTCTTGTCTCTCTTCCCACCTGCTTCCTTCTTGCTTTGTTTCCTTCCTTTACAATTTGAACATCTTGATAAAAATCCTTCCCCTTTTCAACAAAATGCTCTATGCTTCTCCCAATTCCTTCACCAAACTACAGCTTTAGCTTCCTTCCTGTGCCACTGTGCATTTATACTTACGCACACTAATTAAAGTTTTGAACCTTAGACAGACTCAAGTACACCAAAGAGTTAAGAGGGTTTCCGTTTAGCTTATGCTATTATAAAAAATAGATACAATGACTCAGGAAAGGATACACATTAACAATTTTAATTTACCAACAAATCTAAGTCAGTGCATCTGTCAAAACTGCCTAAGTCACATGAGCAATGATGCATCTGAGCTAACTTTGTAGTCTTAATTTTATGTACATGCCCACTTGTCTGTAGCTGGATTTAAACAGAGTTTCCTAGGGAGCTTTACCTGACTGCCTTGTAGACATCATGTGATGGGAAGCGAGCTACAACACTCGGAAACTTGGGAAGTCAGAAGACTTACCAACCAGGAAGAAAAGGGAAACAAAATGATACAGAAGAGATTCAGGCATCTGCCTCCCAAATCTCCACTGCCACTGCCCATGGAGGGATCTCTTTGTCTTTGAGTCTGTTTATTTATGTGTGTGTGTGTGTGTGCACTTGTGTGCAAACTCATGTGTGCCACAGTCTGCACTGTAGAGGTCAGACGACAACTTGCAGGCATTGGGTCTCTCCTTGCACCCAGTCAATCCCAGGGACTGGACTCAGGTCATCAGGATTAGCTTCAGGAGCCTCTGTCCACTAAATCATCTCACAGGTCCTTGTCCTACAGTTTAAGGGACTCCTACTTAAGCAAGGGCTCTATAACATTACACATGATCTCACTGTTGGTGAAACTGCAAGCTATTGCAGCCACTCTGGAAATCACTGTAGAGAATTTTCACAAGGCCGAAACACTCCTTGGCATATGCCCAAAGGACTGGACATTCTCCTTCACAGACTCTTGCTCTGTCCCATGTCCACTGCTGTTGTATGTTCAATGGTAAGGAAACAAAAACAGCCTAAATGCCCTTCAACTGAAGAATGGACAGAGAGATTGTGGTACATATATATAATGCAATACTATTAAGCTGCAAAGAAAAATGAAATTATGAACTCTGTGGATAAATGGATAGCTCTAAAAATATTGTATCAAATGAGGAACCCAGACCCATAAAGTCAAATGTCACATGTTCTCTCTTATCTATGGATCCTATTACAAGTCTTCACATGTGAGTCTACAGCCTGGAATAACCGCAGAAGTCAGGGAGAGATAAAGGATCCCTGTAGCTCTAGAGAAGATAGTAGGACACAGGTGGTGTGAAGGGGAAATAGGTAAAACCAGGGTTGATAGTTAACAGGAAAGGGGTGAGGGAAAGCAGTACAGAGAGGAAGGGAACGGGGAGAGACAGCACTGTTTTAAAATGGTTTTTAAAAACCATAGAGAAACATAAATAATGTTTACTTGAATATATAGACATAGCTTAATACACTGTAAATATATGTGCATGTGCATATGCACACACATACACACATCTATGTTTTGGGTGAAGTTACACTACCTGGTGTAATGATACTCCCTAAAGCCCTAGACTATCTAACAAAAACCCCAGTGCCAGGCATGAGAAATCTCCCTTGGAGTTATTGATGAAGAATCCAAGAAGCTGTCAAAGGATTCAGGCTGTTGCTGTTGCCTTTGGTTGCCTCCCAGAACTTGAAGGCAAGACCCTACGACTGAAGTCACCACACACTTCAGACACAGGAGGAAGTGACCTGGAAGTCTCCTCCCTGAGCACCAGCTCCCATGGATCTGAAGGTGGTATGTGAGCTGCCACGGGAGAGGAGCAGACAACAGTCATACCTATGCCAAGCCTATGAACTCAATAATTACCAGGTCGGTGAGATAGTCCCAAGAGTGCAATGTCTTGGAGGTAGCCAACCCAAGGCCCACTCACTAGGAGGAATTCATGCCCAGTTTTACAAATCTAGCTCATTACTGATGAACAGTGAGGTCCTGGACCCTAGAGGAGACCAAACTATCACCACTTCCCCCAATCAGTATAAATCCCAACTGCATTCTAAATACCTGTCCTTATACCAACAGATAAGTGTAAATGTTCCAATCACCCTTAACACACACACACACACACACACACAAAGCTTGCTTTTTTTTAAGTAGACAAAGACCATTACAGAAACTCATAACTTTTCAAAATGTTATGGGGAGTCCATCAGAGATTACTACTTACAGATTACAGTCATTTGAAAGTCTTTATTCTGACCAGCTGGAACTACAGTTGGGTATTTGGGGACCCAAGTGTAGCACTGAGTGTACAGAGGTCAGAGATTTGAAGGCAAAAACCATGTGCTGGATCTCACTAGGCAGTTGCAGCAGAATCATGAGCAGGAGGCTTTAAAGTAGGGGGAGCTTTGTGTTCGAAATCAATTTGATAAGCAGTTACGTGGAGGGAAGGGGGTTGCCCAAGCAAGCACTCTAGCAGAAGTTAAGGTAGGCTAGATCGGCATCTGGACCTAGGGTTTCTAGAATAGAGTTGGGTAATTTTGCACTGGATTCCCCATCAAGGAGATCAGATAAACCTGAAATGGCCTTAGCAAGAATATAAGATGGAGAGCCTCTTGCCCTGCCACAAAAATGCAGCAGAGAAATTGACCAAGGAGAGTCCGACCCTAGTAGATAAATCTACAACATAACCCCACACCTAAGGCACAGCAGACCAGGATGTCTGCTGCAAGATAGTGTCATCTCTGTGTGATGCAGGGGAGCTACACCCATGATATCTCAGCAATATGCTCACCTAAGCAGGACATCCAGAACCCCAACTGCCATGCCAACATGGAGGTGGAAATCTCAAAAGGCCCTGCTTCTCAATGGAGAGCTACAGCCATTAGTGGCTGCTCAGAGGGGGAGAATCAGGTTTCTACAGAGACAAGCCCCTTGATAGGTTATCTAACCCCAAGCAGTCAGCTCTAATACACATATGAGCATACGAACAGCAGTAAGTAGACCTATCTGGATGTGTGTGTGTATATATATACATATTTTACATACATATATATGAAGCAATAATTGAAGAAGGAGAAGTCATGAACTTGAGAGGGAGTTGGGGGGACATGGGAAGGATTGGAGGGGGAGAGTAAAGGGGAGAAATGATATAAATATAGTATTCACATATGCAACTGCCAAAACTTAATTATAAAAAATTATGGTACGACAGTTATTAAAATGTACATCCTCCAGCATCTTCTTCCAGTGATTTAAACATGGAACTGACAACTCTCTGCTTTTCCTTTTCCCAAGATGATTTACAAAGGCTCCTCTTCTTTTAGTTTTGAGATGGTTTCTCACTGTAAAGCCCTAGCTGACCTGGAACTTACTGTGTTGCCCACAGATGGCCCTCCTGCATCTGCCTTCCAAGGGGTGAAATTACAGGCATGAGACACCATCATCCTAGCCCCATAATTTTCTTAACAATGTGATAATAGACCCCACAGTTTTCTCTGGAACTTAACAAGAGCTTTGATTAATTTGTCTTCTATAAATCTTTTGGGGATGCCTGGGTACCCTCTCATATTTTGAATTTGCTTTTACTCAGTCAAAGAGGATACATGTTAGATAGTGGTCTGTATAGGTTTTCATCTTATTACCCAATTTTGATAAAAATGAAACAACGCAAAATCAACAACAAGTATTTAATTTTTGTTACATTCAAAAGTTGCCTACAATAAGCTTCACACTGTACAAAATATCATAGATTTCAACAACCTCATTCTCCCAAACACCACACTACCCAGATCAAACACAATCCCTTCTCTTTGTCTTAAAATTCTTGACAAAAAAGAAAATCCCGAATAATGTTGAGACCAGGTAGGAGCATTCCAAACTCCAGGCCTGATCATCTGAAACCACTGAAGAAATAAATTCCTTGGAGAGAGCCCTAGTTATCCTTGGCCAGCGTTATCTCGCAGATCCAGAGATAAGGCCTCTGACAGACATTATCGTTCCAGCAGCCATCTGAGGTGAAGTGGACACAGTCTTCACCCCCTCCCAGTCCGTGTCCATACCAGTTATCCGGCTGCTCTGGGGCCCAGTTCCTATGAACAAACACAGATGTGGGCCTCCAGAAACCAGACTCTAAGACATACCCCCAAGATTCTACCACCCACCCCAGGGCCAGAGCCTTGGAAGTAGAGCAAGTCCCAGGCAAAGGCACTAGAGCAGGGCAAATGTGACACACACTCACTTAAAGCCTTTCTCAAAGTCGGTCCCATCCACCCATCGCCAGGGCCCATTTTGGTCTGTTAGGCCGATCCAACTGATCTCACTGGCTAAACGATTCTGCAGAAACTTCTAAAGAAATAAAAAGGCATGGTAACCTCTCTCTTAGACCAGGGAGCCTCCCAAGAAGAGGCTAGCCAGGCATCACCTGCTCCTCCAGGGAGTTGACAACCACCAGGTGAGAATTCTCCAGCCTGCAGTACTTGTCAGCTTCAGGCCATGACTTCTGAGACTGAGAGAACCAGTAGCAGCTGCCTTCATGCTCAGTCCAGTGAGGAGGGCAGCAGGCCTCTTCTGAGCCTAAGAAAAGCAAAGCAAAGATGGAGAGCAGAGGCAATGCCTATTGTGTCCTCGCCCCCAAGAAACTAGAGCAAACCACGCCCATCCCCTTCTCACTGTTGTTCTTGAGGTTGGCCAGATGGCATTTCAAGGCCTTCAAGTCCTTCCCCAGCTGTTGCACACGATCGGTTATGTCAGAGAGATCTGGGACACACAGATGACAGTGACAACAGTGCTCAAGCTGTGGCATACCCTGGTACGCAGGTGTCCTGAACTAGGCTCAGTCTCAGAACATCTCCACACACTGCGCATGCTCACATTCACTCTCCGTGACCGTTCTGGAAATATCTCCACACACTGCACATGGTCACACCTCCGGCCAGGGCCCAGTGGAACCTCAGCCTCCCCTGTTTTGATAGCCTCCGCCTTCTTCTCCACTGTGCTCACCAGAGAATCCACCTTCTGGCTCAAGCCTTGGCCTGGAAGAGGACAGTTCAGCACCAGGAACCACATTCACCCATACCCTTCTGCACACTCTGGAGACCAGGACCCCTCACCTGTCTCCAGCTCCTGCCTGTGATCCTCCACCTCCACTTTCAGAGAACTAATCCCTACTTGCAAGCTGTCAGCTGCAGAACAAGGAACTGGAGCTCAGGACTGTCCACCCTACCCAGCTCACTCCAGCCCAGAACCCTGTGAGAGCCCTGCTCACCCCTGGAGTCGAGGGCCTGGAATTTAGTGTTTATCTTGGAGGTGGTGTTGTCTAACGTGGTTCTCAGGGTGTCTAGGTCTCTCCTTAACTGGGAACCTGATGAAGAAGACAGGATAATGAGAACCACGGTTTCTCAGGTCCATTCTGTGGCAGCACTAGGCCGGGCTCCTTGCACAGAGTGACACTCTGCCTCACAG